ACACACCCTCTACCTTTCCTAAAGCCTCCTTGTTCATCTGCTATCCTATTCTCCGTCTTACTCTTAATTCTTTCAATAATAACTCTACCATACACTTTACCAGGTATACTCAGCAGACTTATCCCCCTATAATTTTTGCACTCTCTTTTATCCCCTTTGCCTTTATACAAAGGAACTATGCATGCTCTCTGCCAATCCCTAGGTACCTTACCCTCTTCCATACATTTATTAAATAATTGCACCAACCACTCCAAAACTATATCCCCACCTGCTTTTAACATTTCTATCTTTATCCCATCAATCCCGGCTGCCTTACCCCCTTTCATTTTACCTACTGCCTCACGAACTTCCCCCACACTCACAACTGGCTCTTCCTCACTCCTACAAGATGTTATTCCTCCTTGTCCTATACACGAAATCACAGCTTCCCTATCTTCATCAACATTTAACAATTCCTCAAAATATTCCCTCCATCTTCCCAATACCTCTAACTCTCCATTTAATAACTCTCCTCTCCTATTTTTAACTGACAAATCCATTTGTTCTCTAGGCTTTCTTAACTTGTTAATCTCACTCCAAAACTTTTTCTTATTTTCAACAAAATTTGTTGATAACATCTCACCCACTCTCTCATTTGCTCTCTTTTTACATTGCTTCACCACTCTCTTAACCTCTCTTTTTCTCCATATACTCTTCCCTCCTTGCATCACTTCTACTTTGTAAAAACTTCTCATATGCTAACTTTTTCTCCCTTACTACTCTCTTTACATCATCATTCCACCAATCGCTCCTCTTCCCTCCCGCACCCACTTTCCTGTAACCACAAACTTCTGCTGAACACTCTAACACTACATTTTTAAACCTACCCCATACCTCTTCGACCCCATTGCCTATGCTCTCATTAGCCCATATATCCTCCAATAGCTGTTTATATCTTACCCTAACTGCCTCCTCTTTTAGTTTATAAACCTTCACCTCTCTCTTCCCTGATACTTCTATTCTCCTTGTATCCCATCTACCTTTTACTCTCAGTGTAGCTACAACTAGAAAGTGATCTGATATATCTGTGGCCCCTCTATAAACATGTACATCCTGAAGTCTACTCAACAGTCTTTTATCTACCAATACATAATCCAACAAACTACTGTCATTTCGCCCTACATCATATCTTGTATACTTATTTATCCTCTTTTTCTTAAAATATGTATTACCTATAACTAAACCCCTTTCTATACAAAGTTCAATCAAAGGGCTCCCATTATCATTTACACCTGGCACCCCAAACTTACCTACCACACCCTCTCTAAAAGTTTCTCCTACTTTAGCATTCAGGTCCCCTGCCACAATTACTCTCTCACTTGGTTCAAAGGCTCCTATACATTCACTTAACATCTCCCAAAATCTCTCTCTCTCCTCTGCATTCCTCTCTTCTCCAGGTGCATACACGCTTATTATGACCCACTTCTCGCATCCAACCTTTACTTTAATCCACATAATTCTTGAATTTACACATTCATATTCTCTTTTCTCCTTCCATAACTGATCATTCAACATTACTGCTACCCCTTCCTTTGCTCTAACTCTCTCATATACTCCAGATTTAATCCCATTTATTTCCCCCCACTGAAACTCCCCTACCCCCTTCAACTTTGTTTTGCTTAGGGCCAGGACATCCAACTTCTTTTCATTCATAACATCAGCAATCATCTGTTTTTTGTCATCCGCACTACATCCACGCACATTTAAGCATCCCAGTTTTATAAAGTTTTTCTTCTTCTCTTTTTTAGTAAATGTCTACAGGAGAAGGGGATACTAGCCCATTGCTCCCGGCATTTTAGTCGCCTCATACGACATGCACGGCCTACGGAGGAAAGATTCTTTTCCACTTCCCCATGGACAATAGAAGAAATAAAGAAGAACAAGAGCTATTTAGAAAAAGGAGAAAAACCTAGATGTATGTATATATATATGCATGTGCGTGTCTGTGAAGTGTGACCAAAGTGTAAGTAGGAGTAGCAAGATATCCCTGTTATCTAGCGTGTTTATGAGACAGAAAAAGAAAACAGCAATCCTACCATCATGCAAAACAGTTACAGGTTTCTGTTTCACAGTCATCTGGCAGGACGGTAGTACTTCCCTGGGTGGTTGCTGTCTACCAACCTACTACCTTGTATCTTTGCAGTTGGAATGGTTTAATTTGCTAGGAAAGAGTGGAGTGTTAATTACTACTGCATCAGATAACTTGTCTTGCTCTGTCTTATCATCTTGGTTAGCAAAACAATTGTTCAATTGGGTATCCATGTTTATTTTCCAGTCCTTGACGGCATTATCAATCTTCATGTTTAGGGAAGTTATTTGATCTGTGTGGCTGGCTATGACTGATTGGAGGGTCTTGCCAAAATCAGTCATGCCAGTTGATGTTAGTTGTTGTTCAAGGTTGTTGATCTTATTCTCAAGGTGAAGTAACTTAGATTCATGGTTTGTTATTGTTGCATAGAGATACGTATTTTCAGCACGAAGATTCAAGTTATCCGCCGTTAGAGTGGTGATGTAGTGCTTTAGAGTGTCAGGATCATATCAGCTGGGTTAAATCCTATGAAGGTAGTAGAGGTAGAGAGGGAGTCAGTCACAGTTGGTGGTGTAGCGTTGCCTTGGTTGGTGGGTGAGGGTGAGTCGGCCATGTTTGTTGTTGGTGATGCGTCGCTCTGGGTTGTAAAGGGGATGGATGATGCACCTGCGTCCTGCTGGGTCGTCTTATGGAATAGTCGATTTCTAGGTGCTGCCTTGCTGTTCTTAGTGCTGTTTCTTCTATTAGTTGGTCTCATAGTAGTACAGGAGTTGCTGTGGTAAGATGAAGAAACTAAGATAATTAGGAGCTTGGAGTAGGTAGTCGTCTGGCAGCGGAGTTGTGCTTGGAGTTTGTGGGGCAGTCTTCACTTCACTCGGTAATTTTTCGGTTTGTAGGTATCACTGTTGATTATCTTGGGTCATGCTGGGTTCTACGTACGTTAGTGCAGTTATGATTACAATTAGGCCATCATTGAAGCGTTGGTGGGCTCTGCAGGTGAGAAAAATGACAGAGCTTGCTGCCGGTTTCTTAGTCTGCAAAGGAGATTTTCTCTTATTTTTGTCAGGCACTCGTTGACATGAACACTTGTTTTCATATTAATAGATGTTCTTAACAGTTCACTTCATTGTGAGCTATAGATCAATAGATGTGATAATGACATACGAAATATCATGGTAATGGACTAGGTAGACAAAGATAGACACAAGAGGACACAGGATTGGGAAGAATAGTAAAGATATAGAACAGTCAAATGAACTATAGGAATGTTAGGAACCATTCTTATAGCATATGAGTAGTAAAATGGAAAGAATCTGAGAGTAATATATTAGATGTAATCCAACATGCATTCAGAAGTAAATATAGTTGAGGTATGCTATGGTAAGAAATGAAAAGTGAAAAAAAAAAAAATGTGGGCTCTGGCATTAAAGCTCAACCCTTATAAAGTGAGCTAGGTTTGTAACAGTTTGAGCTCATCTTCCACAAACTCACATAGGAAATTGCAGTTTTAAGTTGTAGCAAGAGCAGGTAACAATTGCCGATATTAAAGCTGAGATGCCCCTCCAAACTGCAGTATCCTCACCCCTCCTTCAGGGTGCAGGCACTGTACTTCCCACCTCCAGTACTGAAGTCTGGCTAACCAGTTTCCCTGAATTCCTTCATAAATGTTACCTTGCTCACACTCCAATAGCTTTTCAATTCATGAAACCACCTACCTCCACACACTCATGTCTAACATGCTCACATACCCCCTCCCTCCAACTTTTCCTTGAATGACTCTTTACCGCTCCTCTCCACTACAAATTTATACACCCTCCAAATCATCCTGTTTTGCTCCATCCTCTCTAAATGTCCAAACCACCTCAGTGGCCCCACCTCAGGCCAGTGGATAACACTTTCTGTAATCCCACACCTCCTGATCTCCAAACTTTGAATTCTCTGCATAATATTCACTCCATGCATGGCCCTCAGATAAGACATCTCCACTGTTTCCAGCCTCCTACTTGCTGCAAAGTTTAAAGCCCAGGAGAGAGAGGTACATGATAATATATACCTGGAAGGTACTCGAGGTCTTGGTCCCAAATCTGCACACTGCCATAACATACTGGAGTGAGAGATATGGGAGGAAGTGTAAAATAAACCCAGTGAGGAGCAGGGGTGCTTTGGGGACAATAAGGGAACACTGTACCAACATTCGTGGCCCCAGATTATTCAACATTTTACCAGAAGATATCAGAAACACTGCTGGAACAAGTGTAGAAGCCTTCAAGAGGAAACTGGACAAGTATCTTCACCAGGTGCCAGATCAACCAGGCTGTGATGGATATGTGGGGCAGTGGGCCTCCAGCAGCAACAGCCTGGTTGACCAGGCAAGCACCAGATGAGCCTGGCCCATGGCCAGGCTCAGAGAGTGGATAAACTCTCGAAACTCTTCAAAGGTATATCTTCAAAGGTATATCCATGCTTACCATCAATTTAAAAGTGTTAGTACCACTATACTCTTTCATAGACCTGTCCACTGACAAGGTCTTAACAAATTCAGTTCCTGTGTACTTACTCCATTTAGTCTGAAGGAGGAACATAAGTGTGAAAAATATTCACAAGTTTGACAAAAAAAAAGAACAGTGTGGATCATGCAACAAACTGGAGATCAGGAATAAACTAAAAGTAAATACTGAAAACAAATTCAGTAGAATGATGTAAATAAAAAATTGGTTAAGATCTCTGTAAATGTGGTGAGGGGACAGTTGAGTGGAGGAAGTGTCCCTGTATCTGTTGCCTGCTTTTCTTATTTGTGCCTGTATATTTATGTTATATATTCATTATTAAGTAAATCTTGAAGTACAAGAAGTAATTTTTCTGGCTATTATCTAAGACACTGCATTATTAACATGTATCAAATCTAAGCTAACTGAAGCTCACCTTCCCACAGGATGTGCCCCACCTATTCCTCCATTTCCTTCAATGAGCCACACATCCATGGGTGCTTCCACCACAAGGCCTAATGCTGCCAATCCTTACCTGGACCTTGCATCAACATCTTTAGCATCGGCATTGTCCACCTTGCCAGTTTCTACTGGGCAAGAAAGTCAGGCCAGTGGTCGCTTGAGCAGTTCTCGTGATCAGACTGATGAGCAGAAAAGATTGGACAGCTGTGCTGGTGCAAGATATTCACCAGGAAGAGTCCCTGACTTGGATTCTTTGAGTTCAGATGACCTGCTTGTTGATGATGATGGAATGCATGGAAAGGTGGGTAAAATTGTTACATTTTATTTTAAATATTTTATGAAAACTTAACAAATAATTTTCTCCCTCATGTCTTCAGTTTTTTATTATAGGACTTGTTTCCTTCTCTTTGTTTGGTTTTCCTTTTTAAAATTATTTCCTTTAAACCCTTTGTGATTTTTATCCTAAGCAGGTTGGTATTCATCTGTTATTCAGAAGTTAGTTACCAGCCATCTTCAGTGTATAACAACAATGATCATTAATGTTTAAAAATTTTATTGAAAAAGTATCAAAGTGATATCATGAGCTTAAAAACTGATACCTAAGTACAGTACCTAAGTAGAGTGTAAAAAATGCTGGTAGAAAATAATAAAGCAGTGAATTGAAAAATAAGAGAGTTGAGGATTGTAGAAAGAGACTAATACAAATAAGGACAATAATGAGAGGAATGCAGAGGAGAGAGAGAGATTTTGGGAGATGTTAAGTGAATGTATAGGAGCTTTTGAACCAAGTGAGAGAGTAATTGTGGTAGGGGACCTGAATGCTAAAGTAGGAGAAACTTTTAGAGAGGGTGTGGTAGGTAAGTTTGGGGTACCAGGTGTAAATGATAATGGGAGCCCTTTGATTGAACTTTGTATAGAAAGGGGTTTAGTTATAGGTAATACATATTTTAAGAAAAAGAGGATAAATAAGTATACAAGATATGATGTAGGGCGAAATGAGAGTAGTTTGTTGGATTATGTATTGGTAGATAAAAGACTGTTGAGTAGACTTCAGGATGTACATGTTTATAGAGGGGCCACAGATATATCAGATCACTTTTTAGTTTTAGCTACACTGAGAGTAAAAGGTAGATGGGATACAAGGAGAATAGAAGTATCAGGGAAGAGAGAGGTGAAGGTTTATAAACTAAAAGAGGAGGCAGTTAGGGTAAGATATAAACAGCTATTGGAGGATAGATGGGCTAATGAGAGCATAGGCAATGGGGTCGAGGAGGTATGGGGTAGGTTTAAAAATGTAGTGTTAGAGTGTTCAGCAGAAGTTTGTGGTTACAGGAAAGTGGGTGCGGGAGGGAAGAGGAGCGATTGGTGGAATGATGATGTGAAGAGAGTAGTAAGGGAGAAAAAGTTATCTTATGAGAAGTTTTTACAAAGTAGAAGTGATGCAAGGAGGGAAGAGTATATGGAGAAAAAGAGAGGTTAAGAGAGTGGTGAAGCAGTGTAAAAAGAGAGCAAATGAGAGAGTGGGTGAGATGTTATCAACAAATTTTGTTGAAAATAAGAAAAAGTTTTGGAGTGAGATTAACAAGTTAAGAAAGCCTACAGAACAAATGGATTTGTCAGTTAAAAATAAGAGAGGAGAGTTATTAAATGGAGAGTTAGAGGTATTGGGAAGATGGAGGGAATATTTTGAGGAATTGTTAAATGTTGTTGAAGATAGGGAAGCTGTGATTTCATGTATAGGGCAAGGAGGAACAACATCTTGTAGGAGTGAGGAAGAGCCAGTTGTGAGTGTGGGGGAAGTTCGTGAGGCAGTAGGTAAAATGAAAGGGGGTAAGGCAGCCGGGATTGATGGGATAAAGATAGAAATGTTAAAAGCAGGTGGGGATGTAGTTTTGGAGTGGTTGGTGCAATTATTTAATAAATGTATGGAAGAGGGTAAGGTACCTAGGGATTGGCAGAGAGCATGCATAGTTCCTTTGTATAAAGGCAAAGGGGATAAAAGAGAGTGCAAAAATTATAGGGGGATAAGTCTGTTGAGTATACCTGGCAAAGTGTATGGTAGAGTTATTATTGAAAGAATTAAGAGTAAGACGGAGAATAGGATAGCAGATGAACAAGGAGGCTTTAGGAAAGGTAGGGGGTGTGTGGACCAGGTGTTTACAGTGAAACATATAAGTGAACAGTATTTAGATAAGGCTAAAGAGGTCTTTGTGGCATTTATGGATTTGGAAAAGGCGTATGACAGGGTGGATAGGGGGGCAATGTGGCAGATGTTGCAGGTGTATGGTGTAGGAGGTAGGTTACTGAAAGCAGTGAAGAGTTTTTACGAGGATAGTGAGGCTCAAGTTAGAGTATGTAGGAAAGAGGGAAATTATTTCCCAGTAAAAGTAGGCCTTAGACAAGGATGTGTGATGTCACCATGGTTGTTTAATATATTTATAGATGGGGTTGTAAGAGAAGTAAATGCGAGGGTCTTGGCAAGAGGCGTGGAGTTAAAAGATAAAGAATCACACATAAAGTGGGAGTTGTCACAGTTGCTCTTTGCTGATGACACTGCGCTCTTGGGAGATTTTGAAGAGAAGTTGCAGAGATTGGTGGATGAATTTGGTAGGGTGTGCAAAAGAAGAATACAGGAAAGAGTAAGGTTATGAGGATAACAAAAAGATTAGGTGATGAAAGATTGGATATCAGATTGGAGGGAGAGAGTATGGAGGAGGTGAATGTATTCAGATATTTGGGAGTGGACGTGTCAGCGGATGGGTCTATGAAAGATGAGGTGAATCATAGAATTGATGAGGGGAAAAGGGTGAGTGGTGCACTTAGGAGTCTGTGGAGACAAAGAACTTTGTCCTTGGAGGCAAAGAGAGGAATGTATGAGAGTATAGTTTTACCAACGCTCTTATATGGGTGTGAAGCATGGGTGATGAATGTTGCAGCGAGGAGAAGGCTGGAGGCAGTGGAGATGTCATGTCTGAGAGCAATGTGTGGTGTGAATATAATGCAGAGAATTCGTAGTTTGGAAGTTAGGAGGAGGTGCGGGATTACCAAAACTGTTGTCCAGAGGGCTGAGGAAGGGTTGTTGAGGTGGTTCGGACATGTGGAGAGAATGATGCGAAACAGAATAACTTCAAGAGTGTATCAGTCTGATGCCCTCGCTTCCTTCCTGCCCTGCAGCGCTGTATAGTCCTTGTGGCTTAGCGCTTCTTTTTTGATTATAATAATAATAATAATGTATGCCATTCTTGCAGCACTTATTCGCCTAGGAAAGGTTGGAGGGAGGGGGCAAAGGAGGTTTTGTGTGCGAGGGGCTTGGACTTCCAGCAGGCATGCGTGAGCGTGTTTGATAGGAGTGAATGGAGACAAATGGTTTTTAATACTTGACGTGCTGTTGGAGTGTGAGCAAAGTAACATTTATGAAGGGGTTCAGGGAAACCGGCAGGCCGGACTTGAGCCCTGGAGATGGGAAGTACAGTGCCTGCACTCTGAAGGAGGGGTGTTAATGTTGCAGTTTAAAAACTGAAGTGTAAAGCACCCTTCTGGCAAGACAGTGATGGAGTGAATGATGGTGAAAGTTTTTCTTTTTCGGGCCACCCTGCCTTGGTGGGAATCGGCCAGTGTGATAAAAAAAAAAAAAAAAATTCCTACAGGAATGCAAGGGAGTATACAACAATGGTTCGCATTAAAATTTGTAAAATGTTAAAGGTAGAATATTCATGAAAGGATTTGGTAAGAGGTAGCAGTAGTACAGAACAAGTGTGAGGAAGACATCTAGTTGCTGTATATAGACAATGTTTTGTTGACTTGCTCGGAAGGAAAACTGGAGAGACTGATAAGAACACTGGTATATATAGTGAAGCTTGAGAAGTGTTAAAAGAAATTGTGTTCATTCATAGTTCAGACTTGTATGTAAATCATCATATGTGAATGGATAACTTTGTACTTGATTCATCTGATTTATATTGGTAGAAGGGGCACATGTATTGACTAATGATAGCCGATTGCTATCTTTAAAGTAGGGTGCAGTGTAAAGTCTATTTATTTGGAGACAGCAATGAGTGTTAGCTCAGCCAGGTTGTGAGTGCTACTTAGGCTGTCAGGAAAGTGGCCCAAGGCTGGGCTGTGAAAATAGATGAACCCTCAAAACCTGTCACAGGTATGTCATTACTACAAATGATGTTTAAACCACATAAAGGAAATGACTATATCAAAGAATTTGGAGGGCATTTAGAGAATTTGCTATTAATTACAGTTTATATTTTTATGGGTATAAACAGTACTCTTTAATTGTTAGACATTAATATGGATTTTTGGAATTTGACAGATAACTCCAGGTCCTGACAAGCTCAGTAAAATGATAAATTAATGTATCATCTAGATAGAATTAATGCTTTGGTAGCCCTTCCTATATGTTCCAATGTGCCAGACCAGGAGTTCTGTGCTAGAAAAAGTTTGTTAATATACCAGAAGTGCTTTACTAATTTTTATTTTACAATACTCTAATTTAAATTTAGGCGAGTGTGGCCTCGAACTTCAGTAATAATATGAACATCTAAGTGTTTGTGTATTTGGTCAGTGTGGTTCATTATTCATGGGGAAGCACTAAAACCATAATTGTTATACAGAACCTGGGAATGGGAGGTAATCAGGTTTGATCAGAGGAAGGGGAAGGTAGCTCCAATTCCTTGGATCACAAACCCTTCACCAGCATCAAGGGTCAGTATGGTACAGTATTACACAATTGATATTGCATTTTAACACGTAAAACTTTTAGCTTAATGCTAATCATGATTTGTATCAGACAGGCATGACTTAGGTTGCATGTCAACCCACTTGTTGTTATAGTACTGTTGATAGTTCACGTACATTTGATTTTAAGTTGTGTAATATTTTGTCATGTTTATCTGTTAAAGTTTAAACTGTGAATGTGACAAGTTTTTTCTAGCTTTAGCTTCATATTATATATAAAAAACTGCAGTAATTAATATTATGTATAGATTTGTTGATGTTATTACTAATTGTCATCTTTTTTTTCATTTATGCTTACTATTTTTCAATTGCTTAATGATTTGTTCTCTAAATTATCTTCTGTTTCTTTCTTAATTTTCTGGCCATGAAACAAGTCAGCTTACTATTGATGTCCAAGATAAAATTAGCAGGAGGGAACAAACTTCAGTTACTAAGTGGTACAGAGAAGCTAGTTACTTATGGCCAAGATCTCAAAACTAACTTTAATTTGTTGACTGGCATAGATGTATGGATGGGAATGCAGTAGATATGAGCATCATTTCAAATGTGATGTCT